ATTATAGCGCTGCATTTCATGGGCATCACAGTCAGTTAACATGGATCTTCTTTCCGTGTTTGTGTTTCCTAAGCTTGTTGTCGAGGGAATTGAGGAAAACTTGTGAGGGAACTTTACAAAAATAAAATAGCTTCAATGTTGTGAGATTGAGATTAATAGAGAGAGGGAAAATAGAGTGACGGTGTTTGTAAGAGCGACTTGCTTCTTTAGTTGTTCATCCATGGTCAGTATTCTCAGCCTTGGAAGGAAGATGGAAGCGACTAGTACAGAATTCGGTGAAGGTTCGTTTATCTATTTGATGAAAGTTACTGCCTGTCCATAACTGTGTTCCTTCTACAAAAGCACATTCACGTGTCCTTTGCGGAAAAAGATTGTGAATTTTCTTAAGACAATCAATCCATCCCCTCTTGATTGTAGTGTTAGTCATTTCAAGCATCGCTTGGTGATACAGGCTAACACCGATGAGCGTGCAAGTTTATAACATCCCAAAATCCCATTTCGGATGTGAGAGACCTTATTGAGTGATTCATATTTAAATACTAACCTCTCAGATGGTCACCACCTTATGTGATCACCTGGAGTACTCTTTTTGGGACGTTTGGCCCACGTGGACCGAGCCAATTACATACATATTAGTCGAAAGAGCATTATGAGGCCTATTATTAGTGGTTTACAAAGTTGGTATACTAAGTGAGATGGGATTTTTGCAAGTGGCCAGCCATTTAAACAAATTGGACATATTTAATATCTAATAAGAGTCCGTCATATCACTTAGTATATCAAATTTGTCGGTCAATCTTAATATGCATAGCATTTCGCTGATTGAAATATAGAGAGACATGACTTTTTGATGGTCAGCTTGTTCCTTTTCGCATAGTATATCCGTCCTAATCATCCTAATCATCATTTTTATTCTCAAATTTGAGCCTGCGAGACCATTAATAATTTGTCCGTGTGAATATAATAAACATGGCCAACAAAAGTGCTCGTAACAATAATGAAGCTCAGGAGACTTACATTTAGCCCATTTCCAGCTTAATCTGGCCCAACCTGTTTTTAGATTGATTTGGTCCTGTATTACTTTCTATTGAGCTGATTTATTTGGAGTCACAAGCCCGAATCGAATTCTTAGAGTATATTAAGGTATAACTAAATCTAACACGAGCAAATCGAGCTCTTGCGCATTTTGGCTGATTCATTGAACAAAAGATACACACATTAATAGGGCACCGGCCCACACACGTGACAACACCTTACAAAACACTTTCTAATGTACGTCGACGTTGTCAGTTGCTTTGAAACAGAAAGTGTTTAAATGAAGGAAAGCATGTAATATATAAAATACATATACTGGTTATTGAGATGATAATATAAATTTCATTTGCTAAATGTGTTTATGACCATTATTCTTGCGATAAGACAGGAACTGTCCTATATAGGTGGAGAAAGGAGGTTACCAAAAAAAAGTAAATGATCGATAAAATTTAGGCTAAACATTTATCTAATAACAATGCTATCACTAATTTAACGCTAAAAATGCCAGAGATGTATATTATGATCGATATACAAGATCGATGTTTACATAAAATAACGTGTCATATTCTCTTATGAAGGGTTTGTATATAACTCACTTCTTCTTTAGCCAAAGAGGGCCTCGGCAAGTTCGTGACGGACCCGAAGAAGACATGCCAGAATTTGAAATCGGGCCTCGTCCTCAAGGGCCTCCTTGATCATCCCAAGGGTTAAGCATCCAGGGCAGTGCACAGTGCTAGGATTTAATACATTTATGTCTCGTTCCATTTATTTATTTTACGGGTTGATTTTCGTTAATCGTATTTCCCGCTCTTCAATTCACGTGTCGTTCTTTCCTTTGGTTAGCAAACGAGAAAGCGTATTCAAAGTAAATCTCATATTCTCCTCCTGCTAATATTTGAAACAACTTGGTAGTTATCATTGGCCCCATGGGTTTCATTTCATGTAAACACCGTGATTGTTTAGCTAGAAAAGTTGCACAGACAAGGCCATCAAACCCAATTTTGTCTTTTACCTTACATTAGTTTAGAAATTCTAAACTATAGAAGTCAACAGTAGAACCTCAATAAGCCAACGGCCTCACGTGTTGAATAAGAGCTGGCATTGCATGATCTATACAGATCATGCGAACTAAATTTATGTTTAGACTGTTGATCATATCAGCCCCACGATGAATACGAAGAGCTACTTCCATGTGGTCGGCCCGGGAAAAAAGGATTAATTTAATTAATGGGATTAAAGAAGGGGAGAGCGTAGATAGATCTTGTTATATAACATATAAACATTTGCACAATATGATCATGACGTATTGATGAGACGTCACTCCTTTTTTAACTGTGGTCGTCTTCAATTCGTGCTTTAAAATTATAAGTTAAAGGGCAGCCATTTCCATGTGCATCGAAGCCTTCTTCTTCGTCTTCCTTTGCAAGTTGCAAAATATTAAAATCCCCCAGGATACAGAAACGACGGAAGGTCAATTGTATCTTTGGTCTTAAAAAATGATCATGTATATAATTATATAAAGTAAAGAGAATCTCCTTTTTTTACAAGATCACAATCTTTTTCTTCTAAAAATATTCTAACTTAGTACTTTATAAATATTCTATCAACATTTAAATGTGCAAATTAACAATTTTATCTCATTTCCAACCTATTTCAATTTTAAAATTTTTTGAATCTTTTCTATCTTATAACAACCTTACAATAACAATTCAAATATGGAGATATTTTATTCATTCCATATACATGTGCACAGTTGCTTCATATTGTGTTAACAATTTCTTCCTGCAAAATCTTTCAATTGTTAATTTTTCACACACGCGTTGCTTTTGCTAGTAATAATAATAGCAAAGAAATTAGCCTCTTTAATTGTCATTGAATCTTGCACAAAATTTTCAACAATGTGTCAAATGGCTCAAGAAATAGTTTGCACTCGTTGTGGCGGTTCATGAAAGCCCAATAATATGACAAAGGTCAAAACTGGAAATTTGGAATAAACAAAGACCAGAAAGTCTTTTTTTAGATCAATCAATCTTTAATGCATAAATAATAACCAATTAATCGGTCTCATTTGTATTTTTCTTTTTTTTTGGTAATGCTTAAAGTTTTCGCTTCCTAACTGTCCTCGAATCTCGCACAAAAAATTCAACATATGTGTGAAATAGCTCGAGAAGTAGTTTGCACTCGTTGTGGTGGTTCACGAAAGCCCAGTAACATGGCAAAGATCAAAACTAGAAATTCGGAATAAACAAAGACCAAAAAGTCTTTTTTTAGATCAATCAATATTCTATGCATAAAGAATACCCAATTAATCAGTCTCATTTGTATTTCTCTTTTTTCGTAATGCTTGAAGTTTTCGCCTCCAAACTGTCCTCGAATGTCGCACAAAAATTCAACGCATGTCAGAAGTGGCTCAAGAAATAGTTTGTCCTCGTCGTGATGGTTCATGAAAGCCCAATAACGTGGCCAAGGTCATAACTTGGAAACTTGGAATACACAAAGACCAAAAAGTCTTTTTTTTATATCAACTCATATTCTATTAATAAAAAATAATCAATTAGTCAATCTCTTTGGTATTTCTCTATTTTCTTAATGATTAAAGATATTAGCTTCTTAATTATCCACCAATCTCACATAAAAATATGGACATATGTATGAAGTGGCTCAAGAAAAAATTTGTCCTCATCGTGGCAGTTCACGAGAGCCTAGTAACATGGGAAAGGTCAGAACTTGGAATAAACAAAGACCATAAAGTCTTTGTTTAGATCAATTCATACCCTAATCATAAAGAATAGCCTATCAATCAACCTTATTTGTAATTTTCCTTTTTTGAAAGCTCAGAGATACTCGCTTCTTATAGGTCCTCGAATCTCCCACAAAAATTTCAACACATGTCAAGAAATAGTTTGTCCTCGTCGCGGTGGTTCATGAAAGCCCAATAACTTGGCGAAGGTTAGGCCTTGGAAACTAGGAATAAACAAAGACCAGAGAGTCTTTTTGTAGTTCCCCCGACAGTTATCATTGGCCTCATGGGATTCGTGTTCACACACCATGATTGTTTAGCTAGGAAAATTGCACAGACAAGGCCATCAAACCCAATTTTGTCCTTTTCCTTACATAAGTTTAGAGATTCTAAACTATAGAAGTCAACGTTAGAACCTCAATAACCTAACAGCCTCACGTGTTGAATAAGAGCTGGCATTGCATGGTCCGTAGATCATGTGAACCGAATCTATGTTTTGACCGTTGATCATTGGCCCACCGGTGAATCCGAAGAGCTACTCCCATGTGGTCGGCCCGCGAAAAAAGGATTAATTTGTTTAATGGGGGTTAAAGAAGACATGAGGTGGATCGATCTGGAGAAATTTTCTTATATTACACGTAAAAATTTGCACGATATGATACACCACATGTTGATGAGACGTCACTAATTTTTTAACTGCCCTTGTCTTTGGTTCGTGCTTTAGAATTATAAGGGAAAATGGAGATTGGTTGGTTGGATGGAATAATGTCACATCGCTTGACTATGTATTTATTTACTCTTTATTTATATATGGTCTCTCTCCATCTAACAATTTGAAGTTTTTCGATTATACATTCTAACACGGTATGCATGTTATTAAGTTGCTGACGTGGTACACCAGACTTTCCATGTGCATCAGCAAGCCTTCCTGCTGGGGTTTACTTGTTCTTCGTCGTCCTTTTCAACTTGCAAAATATTAAAAACCTCCGGGATATAGAAAGGATGATAGCACGTGTCTTTCCTTTGATCCCTCTGTTTTTTCTTCTGCCCATTGCCAGAAGAGCTTTCAATGGCTCACTGAACTACCTTGTGATAACTCGAAGAATTCGATCTTCCTTCTCGAAGCGAAGCACACCAGCAGAATCGGTAAATGAGATTTCCTCATCTTTTCTTGTCCTTCTTGTGTATGCCATACACTTACTAATATGTACTGCGACAGGTACTCTAAATCCTAAAAAGAGGATGGAAGCGGGAGCTGCAACAAATGGTGGTTTGACCACAGCTGATGAGGAAACTAATCGCCAGAGCAGAAGAAAGGAGGGAGGGCCTTCTCTCAACAGTTTAGCCATCATGAGAAAAGCAACCACACCAACCAACATTTCGTCCGTGGAAATCAAGGATTGGCGTCGCGTCGTATACGAAGGAGTGCTCCTGGAAAACAATACACAGGTAAAGTCCCATACAATTTCCCTTTCAACTCCATCTATATATCTATCGGCACTAAATGCAAGTTCTGTGGTCAGCTCGGTCTATCGATCACATGTGGTCTCGAAGGACCTTTCACACAATAGATTGAATCAATCCAAGACTAATTAAATTCACGGCACACCATATTCCAAAAGGAAAACAGGGTTAGCGGGAATTCGCATAATGATATCAATGGCATAGATTTTGTTCGATTATATGGTTTCGTTTCTTTAACTTGGAACGGCACACCTAACAAATTTGCATAGTAATAAGGACTCTTACCACCAGTAATAGTGATTTTCTGGGGAAAAAAATTCACCTCACTGTGGATTTAACAGAAGTTTTGGGTTGACGAAAAGCTTCACAAGAACTGCTTCCTGGTGCTTCCCAAGGCATTTCACATTGCTGGGGGCGATGAAGAAAGTTGCTGGAAGTGGATCACCGTCAAAGAAACCTGGTACCTCTTTCAATAATTTAATCGATCACAAGGAAATTAGTACACTAATCGATGTGGCATAACGGTTAAAGCCGTATGTTACATCTGGTTCACGTGTCACATCGTGATCTTGTAAATACTAAAATTCTCTAATTCAGTTTTCGCAGCCCTGTCGACATACCCGTCCCCAGATTAGTGCAGTTATCCTGGGTCTATATGCAGGGAAAATTCAGAACAAGTGCGCTCTCCCCCAACACGACGTATGAGGTCGCATTCGTGGTCAAACTCAGTAGAAATAGCTACAAATGGCCTCTGCCAGTGAACATCGAGCTCGACCTGCCGGATGGGAACAAACTGATCCGCACAGAGAATCTGGAGAGGAAACCAAAGGAGAAATGGATGAAGCTCCGCGCCGGTGAATTCATGATGGACCCGAAGACGGTGGGGACGATTGTTTTCACCCTCCACGAGACGTGCCAAATGTATAAGTCGGGCCTCATCCTCAAGGGCATTCTTATTCATCCCAAGAATTAAGCAATGCATACACTAGGCTGATACCGTGGAGCACAAGTTCTTGTTAGCTATATCACATGATCCTTAATTATGAAAGAGATCTTTTGTTCGCTGAATGTGACATGCGCTCAGGGAGAAAAATCATATCCTTTTGAGCTAATAGCGATACTTGGCTCAGCGTGTTTTGTTGTGACGGAGTTTTTGGATTTGGGAATTAGATGTTGGGGTCTGTGCGTGATTTTCCACAAATTACGGGCTTCTTGGTAAGAGGGGATAACTTCAAGTTGTCCAGCTATGGGAACAATAGACGATCTCAATTCAAGTTGAGAATAATCTAAGCATGGGATTTATCTCATGTACACCTGATATCGTCTTTGAACTTCTGAGATTTTATGGACCGCTACCAATAAGTTGGTAGTTTAATACATATAACTATTCGAATACAACCTTTTATGAGTAGGCTGAACTTTAAGACTTATACTATATTATAAGGGAGGCAAATAAGGGGCCTATAAACATTTGAACCCAAAACTTCATGTTCTGATTCATGTTAGAAAGTTCAATTCAAAAGCTTAAGCCAATATATAGAGAGAGAGACTACATTATAAATAGCATGTAAACCCCGTAAACAAGTAATGTAGGATACTTTAATACCCCCTCTCACGTGTAAGTCAAATTATGAATGATACGCGAAATTTCATGAACTAGGGGTCGTACACGCGCAATTAATATGGGCAAAATACGGCTTTGATATTGTGATAAGAAATATGCAGAAGAAATAAATGTGTAATTTATGTATATTACACTATGAAGAATATATAAGCCTATGTATAAACTTTACAAGATACCTATCTACCAATAACAAGATATTACTATATCAATTACAATTAATTAGAATCAATAAAAAAATGAACAATTAAATGAGATATACGACCAATCTTGAGAGATATGACAAATCAAAAGAGATGCAAAATCAAATGAGATATATGAAATATCTGAGATATATCCCTAACATCTCCTCAAGCTTAATGTGACATAAAAGAAGTCAACTAGATTTGAAGAAAATATCTAAAAAAACACTTGGGTGGATGTGCCTTAATGAAGACATCAGCAGTTTAATCACCGATGAATTGGAAACGAGACAATTAGTGCCACAAAGCCGTGATGTTGTATGAAATGATAATCTATTTTAATGTGTTTGGTGAGTTCATCAAAGACATCATTATGTGCTATTTGGATTACACATCGGTCGTCGCAGTAAATAACCACAACTATAACAGGCTCATATGTTTTCTAGTAACCATCGCAATCACAATAGTTTCGATGTAGTATCAACAAGAGCATGATATTTTGCTTCCATACTAAATTGATTGACAACAATATATTTCCTATTAACCCAGAAAGAAGCAGTGGCCAGTAGTGGGGTGACGATCAAGAGGGTCACCAAAGTAGTCAGCATTATAATAAACCGTCTGTTGAGAAAACCCTTCTAATAGATTTTGAAGTTGACAAACTATTCATGTGTTTCTTATAAGTCTGATAAATTCCTTGAAATAATTTGATTCAGGAAGTTATTCTTAAAAGAGAAGCATATGTCAATCTTGATCTTGTTCAGATTGTGGAATTACTTCAAGTAAAAGAGATTCGGACTTTATACTGGAGATGAAGAACTTCAGACTCAAAAAACTACTTGTGTTCCCATCCTGACACAAGTTTAGAACAAAGTCCACAACGTAACACAAGTTTAGAACGTGACGCAAGTTCATAATGTATATAATGGCTAGTGATCTAGTTTGGATTTCACATATAGAATAAATTGATTGACTCAATCTTGAAGATTGTTTTTGCAACGGTTTAATATGCAAAACATCTTAAATGATTGGCAAATCAATCTCGAGACAAATTACCTTCTAAGCGAAGAAGCTCTACTTATGAAAACCAAAACTTTGGTTGTATGGGTAACCAAAATCAGCGGAGATTCAGATTTTGTTCTTCAATGGCTACTCAATTTTCTTCATACAAATCTGTCCAACATGAAGATTGGAAGATGATCCTTTAAAAACTGTCGAACGGCTAGATAATTGAGTAATAATTGATTAGATTTTTATTCATATATACTTTCCGAAGTTCCAGGCCTAAAGCTAACCGTCAATTATTTTTCACCCCAATATTAGTCAAAGGAGTACCTTAGTCTTCTTACCGAGATGATATCCACACATGACAAATGTGTCCATCATAATCGATATAGGTAGCTACTTATATCAACAATCCCGTGAGTCTATCCAATCTTCTCGCTGGTAATCGACTTGCGAACTGTTATCCATTGGTCCTCCCGCGTACATGAATGCTCAAGACTTTATTCGGTTGTTTATTTTATCATAGTACCTCCAAATCTTGACAAAATTTCCATTCTCCTAGACTTGTTCTCCCTCTATCAAGTTCCATATAGCTTTTATTCGTCTTTCCATGATGTCCTTTGGATTTCATCAACGGCGATTAAGCATCCTTTTTATCAACATTACCTAAAATAATACTTCTACTGGATTTGTCAAATAATAATGAGAAATATATGGTTTTCTCAGCTTTAAAATATCATAGGAGGTTTTCCCAACACACGTCAACGTGGACCAGGAGCCATCCAATCAATCGACACGCCAGCATGAGACACCCCAAAATGTCACTTGCGCATGTGTCTTTTCTAATTATATTCTTTATTCAGTAATAGCATGCGGAAACTAAATTAAATTTTTCTTCAACAAAATATCATACAAGAAAAATCGCACGAGTTAAACATGGATATTAATTTTATTTATGTTAAACATCAATTTTACAACTTAACTACATCATCCAAGTAAAATACAAAACACCAAAGTCCTGAAATAAAGGTCAAGGTAGCCTATCTCCATATTTCATTATACTCCAAAAATCTGTCTGTACATAGGTAGACTTTACATCATGGACCGTCTATCTTCCCCAACGACAAGTCACAAACATCACTACCATCGTATCAGTCAAACATTGGCACTCATAGTGTCTAGGAAAACCAGCAAGCATTGGCAGCAAATTGGCCATTCCTACACGTTTGAAAAATAAATGAATGAGTCGAAACCCAGTAAATAAAATATGTAGTTTTAAGTTAGGAAAATCATCTTACCACTTTACCTGGTACAAACAACGTACATGCATAACAACCAGTGTGCAAAGAACTTGAATAAATGTTATTCCTTTTCCATTTAGATATGCCACAATAATCTGATCATTTCATTATTTCACAATATTTTCATTCAGACGCAAGCATATGATATATAGCACTCATACACATGCATTAGATTTGTTACTTCTCCTCCCGAATACTCCCGGGGCATCTCAACTCTGAGGCATCCCAGTACACCCTCCGAAGCATCCCAACCTATAGGGCATCTCGACTCTCGAGGCATCTCAGTATAGGCATCCAACCAACGGAGCATCCCGACATACGGGGCATCGTCACTGTTGATCTGTGGGTGACAGAAAATATATTATTCTCATGCAAGCCATAAATAATAAGTATTTGCATAGATATACTCATCATTTTTTTCCTTTCTCATCTTCCACATTCATATCATAATAGTAATAACACCATACTTATCTCTTCCATTTTGCAATGATAAGTAAACATTTACATGCATTGGACAAACATTTATATATGAATCAATATGTGATTAGACTCAAGAAGTAAATCTATTCAAGTTCAGAAAGTAAATCTACTCAGCTCATAAGGTAAATCTATTCAAATTCAGAAAGTAAATATACTCAAGTTTAGGCAGTAAATATATTCTGATTTTAAAGTAAAATCTGTTCGGGTTTAGAAATAAATATGTCCAGATTTTGAAAGTAAAGTCTATTCGAGTTCAGAAATAAGTATGTCCAAGAATCTGAAAGTAAAATTTGTTTGGATTATTTTGAAAGTAAAATCTATCCTAGTTTAGAAATAAGTATATCCAGATTTTGAAAGTAAAATCTGTTTGGGTTTAGAAATAGACATATACAGATTTTGAGAATAAAATCTACTCGGTTAAGAAATAGATATATCCAGATTTAGATTTAAAAATAAGTATAACCAGAATGAGAGAGTAAAAATCTACTCGGGTTAAAAAATAGTTATACACAGATTTTAAGTGTAAAATCTACTCGGTTTAGAAAATACGCATTCAGATTTTGAGAGTAAAATCTACTCGGTTCAGAAAATACACATATCCAGATTTCGAGAGTAAAAATATACTTGAGTTCAAAAATACATAAATCCAGATTTTGAAGGTAAAGTCTACGCGAGTTTAGAAATATATATATATCCATATTTTGAAAGTAAAGTCTACTCAAGTTTATACATATATCCAGATTTTGAAAGTAAAGTCTATTCGAGTTTAGAAATGCATATATCCAAATTTTGAAAGTAAAGTCTTCTTGAGTTCAAAATTCAATATGTCTAGATTCATTGAGTAAAATCTATTCCGGTTCATAAATCAATAGATTTTATGAATGACGGTTAAGTCTGAACCTACAAATATGACTTTTCTAAATTCTAATTCATTATTTCTACTCACCAAAAGTACTCCGCTTTAAGTAAAACGATTATTTACCTTTTAAACATGCATAAGACCAGCAAGACAAATTCTACAGTCACCTCAAGGATGACATTTCCATGTTCAAATTTAACAATTGCAATTGCCAATTATACCACATCTTAAGGAAACATATCACACCTATTTTTAACTTGCTTGAGACCAACCCAACAATTTCACAGATCACCATATTCTCACTATTGAAACACATCAAAATAGTATATCACATCCATTTAAGTTAAAATTGACAAGTAGATTGATCTAACTTAACTCTAGAGTCTTCACTTATCTCCAATCATAATCAAATCTTGAATTTCCTCTTGAAAAATGAAATCGTTCATTTCCGCCTAAGGATTTTAGAAAAAGCCAAGCATTTCCCCTCGAAGTGTTTTTTGGTAAAAAGGTTCATTTTCTTCTAAGGATTATACTTCTCCTTCCCCTTAGAACTAATGTGCCAACTCTTAGGTAAAGAGAACACAAGTGTAAGCTTGCATGAAGAAAGAAGGTTTACGTATGATGAGCTTACAAAATTTACATTTTGCATTGCCATGTGTTGTACAATTAGAACATAAGAGTGGATTAACTCATAGGTGAAGTAATGATGCCTAGCCTACACGTATAAGTGTCTTCACCTCAAGAAGACAACTTAACCATTCATGCAAGAGTAGAATAGAGCATGTGGCCTCTCATGCAAAGTTTCTTTCTTTAAGAGACAAGTGGCCTAAGTGTCTTCACCTTAAGAAAACAACTGGCATTCATCCAAAAGAACATGTGGCCAAGCATGTTATCTCAAAATACCACAAGGCTGCGTTTGGTCGATCGGATAAAAGCCAGGATAGGATATGTTTTATCCTATTCTGTGTTTGGTGGTGGTCCAGGATAGGATAAGGTCGGATATAGACCGGATATAGCCCGGATAAAAAAATCCGAGGGGGGAGGTGGGATAGACCCGGATAGGATTTCTAATGCCTATTTTTCCAAAAACCCTACGCTCCACTCGTCGTCATCTTCATCCCCACACCTTGTGCGCTTTCACCAAAAAAATTTCTCGGCTTTTTTTCCTTTACCGACTCCTTCGGACCCGTGAATAGCAAAAAAAAAAAAAATTTATCCTATCCGACTTTAAATCCGTAGTCCACCAAACAATGGATAGGATATGAAGAAATCCCAGGATTTCTTATCCTATCCTATCCAGTCCTATCCTGTTTAGAAATCCGGACGACCAAACGCAGCCCAAGAGGTCTTACGTGTCTTAGCTTAGAATAGGCAAATGGCCTAATCATGCAACTCTCAAAAGAACAAGTGGGTATTAGTGACCCAATATGTGTAGATAAGAATGTGATCATTGTGAAAGAGAGGTTATCCATTTTCGGCAAGTGAGTGAGGTCATTAACGTAAGTAAATTATTATTAGTTAATTAGGATTAAAAATTAATAACGTAACCCATGACACATGATTTTACCAAAATTATTAGTAAATCATACCGAATGCTAAGAAAATCTCGGTTTAGCAAATTCAAACTCGATAATCATATAATTTCGAAAATATCCGTCCCCGTCGACAATTAGCATCACTCTAATAATCATTGTACACTTCATCGTTATCTATTGAATTTCAACGACTCAGAATGATTATGTTCGCGGAAAATCATCTTCCGCGCTTCTCCCACCCCGCAAAATTTACAATTCAACTAAGATTTTTACGTGTCCACCCGAATTCTAAGTTATATAATACCTAGTTTTACAATCTAACTATTATTTTTGAACATTGAAAATTTCTAATGTCATGTAAATATTATTATGAAAAATCGAGATGTCAGGCAACATGTTGTCACTTGGCTTGCACATGTCAGACTCAAACGTGTAGCTACCAAATAGCCTGCACACGTCAGGCTCAAATGAGTAATCGCCACGTCAACATGTTGTCGTAGAGCCTGTACACATCAACAGATTCTCTCTTCAACAGACCAACTCAATTCGCAAAGCCTATCGTGCCAGTTTTCTACCATTGATTGATCAAATTGCTAAAGTCTTCACTAAGGGATATCTGTCAGGCCATTTTCGAGATCTTTTTTCCAAACTCAAATTGACTTCTTTTACGTCATCTTGAGTTTTTGGGCATCTTACAGATAATTAAAAGATTCTCTATACATCCCATGATTCTTCATATTTATAAGAATTGTACATATATCTTCTTTAATTGTGCATATCATTAATTTATCCTAATTCAACGTAATTAATATTGTAATATATGTTGCCTTAAATAGTTAACTTATAAAGTCTATAAATACGTCATGTACATTTTGTTATAAACCACATAGAAATTATACAATTTCATTCCACACATTATTATCCAAATCATTGCACCTCATTCAGAATACCCTACCCTAACCCATCTCTTTAGTTTCTCCTCTTCATGTCTCTCTTGCCATTGCATAGATCGTTGCTGCACCACTCTGTTCCCGGACCCGATGATGGAGGTCCTCTCTCTCTCTCTCTCTGTCCGTCTTTATCAAAGAATGAGCGAGTAGCTCCCTCGTCCTCGACGGAGAGTCGATGCTAACTCCGATATCGGCGGACCCAAATCTTGGCAGATATGCCGGTGGTCAGAGAGTCCCTATTCACACCCACGGTTTGGATGTTCTCATCTGAAGATGTCTCCTTTTAAGGGATTAATTTACTCTACGAACGTCGAGTATGTTCACTGTTTAGCACGTGGTGCGCGATAATTCCGGGACATCATATTGATGATTAATCTGGTTTCGTCTATATGAGTAGAATCGCCTTGACTTAATTAAGAAACAACTACAATGCGGTCTTTGTTTAAGAAGGAAGAATCAGGTGCACCAGCGGCATCAACGTCGTTGCATTGCTTCATCCAGGTCATTAATCATCAAGTACCACGACCACGATGACAAACCACTTCTCGAACCACCTTCATTTTGTTTTTGGCATGTGATAAAACTTAGTACATGGACTTGACTTTGCAGTCTTTGTCATACCCATTATCGTTTTAAATACACGTGATTCCAAGTTGAGCATTAAGAAAAGCTAAACACTTCTCGTGGATTAATATAGTTATTCTTTGTAGATAAGACAACCTCCTATTTCACTTAGAAAACGACCCTCTGGTCTCTCTCTTGCTTTTTTCTTCATTTGTTCCAACATTTGCCAGACTTAGTCACCTCCGTCAAGTCCGTGAAAAATCGCCACTATCACTATTGTAAACTGTACATTTCTTGAGCCACTTTAGACATGCTTCATTTTTATTGTTGAAGTATTCATGCCGCTGATTTACGGGGTATATGTATGCTCTTTGTATACTCTACCTCCACCCATCAATTTAAGCTTTTAAGTTGAACTTTGTAATATGTATTGGAGTCAGATCTGCAACAGTATATTTTGATTTGTATGGTCCCCATTTTTCAAATTTCACCGGAATTCCTAAACTTTTGAGTTCAATTTTCTCACATTTATCTATACATGTGAAAGTTTATATGTGATCAGATCACTTAACTTTACCGTTCTTATATAACTATTTTGACCGTTTCTACCTCATCGGATGGCTCTTAAGAGACCCAAATTTTCTCTTCACCAATTAAAGTTCATGTTCACAGAAGCTGCTTTCGTAGGGGAACCCAATTGAGTTATCTTTCCTCGAGCAATATGCTAACAAGTACATCAAATGTTTGTCATTGTGCGTGAACTTTTATGTATGAACGGTTTATCGTGATTTTCGACTAAAACGTATTTATTAGATGATATTGATGTACAACATTAATGGTTGAACAGTTACATTCTTTTTAATTCCTTAATTCTATTTTTGTACATCAACGAGACACTGAAAAAACATAATCCTCATCTCAAAGTTGGTATTTCAAACATCAACAACACATAAACGATAGTTCTGTCTAATTTGCAGATCCTCAATCACCAGGAATTCACGGTTATTTCTGCTACCGCCGGGGCGTGTGGTATCTGGAAGTGGTTGGTCAGCCCAAAATGAGCCATCAGAAACCAGACATGGGTTATGAACTCGCCGCCTCGCCTCATCTGCTGAGCATGATCCTTCGCTTTGCACTTGTTAGCCGCGTAGATCAGCATTTCCACCCATACGTGGCGGATCACTTCCCATTTCGTCTCCTCAGGCGAGATTTGCTCCAGCTCTGACGCGAGCCGGCACCCATTGAACAGCACGTACTTGACTTTGTCCTCCTTCGTCACGCTCAGATTGAATTTGGTCTTCACTTGGCCGCGCAACACATTACAAGCCTCTGCAATCTTGGGATTGTGCTCTCTCCTCATTTCAGGGTCTTCTTCCGAGTTGTCTTGCATATTGGGGTCACAAGCAGGCGTCTCCGGAGCAGATTTAGGCATGGCAAAATACTTCTTGATCTCCTTATAAATGTCTCGGAATCTGATACTACCAATTCCAACAGGCAACATTGAAGGATACATAACTAGGAGATATACCATGTACCGAGACAAGTGCAAACTCATCAAGGACTTGTACTTTACATGGCTCTGGTTATTCCTATCTAGCTCCTGAATGCTGTCCTCTCCGTTATGGGGGAAATAGCAGAGCTCCGTCGCTATGTGCCAGACTAGGATGCTCATATCGAAATCCAGCTCGATGCTCCATTTCAACTTATCCAGCAACTTTTGTGTGCTCAACACGTGGCCTCCCCTGTCGATCCATACGGAGGGCAGTTTCTGCGCGTCCCTTACTTGCTTCTCTTGGAACTTCTCCAGGATTAGTTCTCTGATTTTGCTCGTCACGTCCTCACGGCCTTGGTCGAGAAACTTCACAACCATCTCATCAATGCGCAAATTTTTTAGGAATCTCCACCAGCAGGAATCATTTTTTCTGAAGGAGCAGCTCATTAGGCTGTATTGGCCCATGGAATTGGACCACCTGCGCCTTTTCGACAGTGGTCGGAACCAGTTGATGATATTGAAGATGACCGATTGCTTGTTCGTTATGAGCCAACAAGCAACACGGTCAGAGGAAAGAATGTGATACAGTGCGTATAACTCAAGGAAAATGGCTGCTCCTAGCAACAGGAAGGTCAAGCATAGATCCAGCTTCGAATATTGTCGCTTGTTGCTAAAAGAGAAGAGCACCAGTGCAACACAGATCGAGAATGCGATGGCAAGTCTACAGATAATGCCCCACCACGTGTAGACTGCCTTCGCCTTCGCGTAGAACATGTCGTAGATGAGGCCCAGTTCAATTTCAATGACTTTAAATCCTTCCCAGGGCTTGCCAGTCAATATCGACAGGCAAGTGTCGCGTTCCTCCAAGCTGAACAAGTGATCTGCAAAAAGGCGCTGACTAGTGTCAACCAAGCTGCGAGCCGCTAGCAGTGCGCCCACATCCTTGTATTCTTGGTCCTTGGATTCCTTGCTGGAACTCAGACTCTGAGACGGAAGATTAGCGATCGCATTATCGATCGTAATCATCGCATCATCCCGTACCTCGATGACTTGATGAGGCACGACATTGTACCCCTCGGCCCCCTTCAACTCGCATTCCTCCAAAATCTTGTTGGAATACTTTCGGCGGGGTTGGGACTCAGCAAGGGAGTCCTTGAAGTGCTCGTTGCTGGCGGCGCGGAGGACCCAAACCCTCTCACCGTACTTATAGAAACCCGAGAGCAGTATCAGAATGGCAAGGAACGATAGGCTAGGATGAGTCCACGCCATTCCCAGAACATAAACTGTCAAGCCTGTCTGGCTCACCAGCGTCAGCGAGTGCCTGAGCCAGAGCTCGTTGTCTTCCATCGCATAAGCGCTGATCGTGTCGGGGCCCCCCAAGTGCAGCAGCAGAAACGGGGCCCAAAACGCACTAAGCTCCGCGTGCGGGTCCATCTTGCTCACCAATTTGTCAGCCTTGATTTCCCCGATCATGTTGGAGATCATGCCAAGCGCATAGATCGCAACAGAATCGGCCAATAGGTAGGCCGACCAGGTGACCACCCTGATCCAAGCGCGCGGGACATACTTGCGGCGGTCGCCGAGATAAATGAGGACGATTTGGAGGGCAAGGCTCATGAAGACTGCACCTCTCAGCTCCCACTCCTTCCACACGTCGCTCGAAGAAGAGAGCACCTCCGACAGCCTCCGTGCCCTCGTAAGGACCAGGCCAGTAACGACTGCGAGACATGTTGCCAACAAAAAATTAACTGATGTCGAATCATTCAGAGATGAAAGCTAAGGCGGAATGGAGAGAGAGAAAGTAATGACTCAAGCATGAAACACGGCAAGCTTTCGCAGCCTCTAGCGGTAATTAGAGGGCGATGTACCAGTCAACCAACAAAATGCTACTTTAGCTATGCGAAGAAGGCATATAGACAGTGAATGAATGAACACTGAGCTGATGTTAACATCTCATTGATCGATGACATACCAATCGTTAGCATGGTGTGCGGTTGCTGCACTCGACAGACGACTGGGGTGTCTCTTCACCACAAACTGCGCCTTCTCGGGCGACACACAGAGAGAGACAGAGAGACAGAGAGAGGCACGAAGAGCGTCGATGGCATGCGGAGGTGACGTCAAGGCACGGCGAGCGATATTGGTGGCGACATGCGACTAGCGTCAGAGGCCACACTAATGACAATTACATAGCCTGTGTGCCCTTCATCATATGAATACCACAGATGATTTGTTTATTAATTATTGAATTTTCATTACCTACACAGTCTACATCATCCCTCCCAACGCGCACACATATAAAGTGGGTTATTAGAATTTTCTTTCTTTCCTTTGTTTCTTCACGTCAGTCATAACTTGAATTACCCCCCAATATCATGTCTTTCATGGACCTCTCATAAAGACATGTCTCCTCTTCTTCTCTTCTCCTCTTCTCTTCTTCATAATCAGAATCATCTTGTTCACAATAATCAAAGTCATCTTCCTGGAAACGGAATTTATAGTCTTCGCTGTGGTCATCTCCATCTTCTCCCTCGTCTGCTGTGTTCTTCATCTGATTGCTCCTCTTTATTTTCATCCTGCTCATGATCAAGAACAAGAGAGAGAGGGGTATGTGCAGTAGACAGTAAGACAACCAGTTTCCACCCAAATATGGGTATGTAATTCGAAAGTGGGTAAGTTATCAAAGTTAATAATTGCAAAACCTTATTAAAAATGTTCGGTGAATATCGCAAATAAGAGAGAGTATTTAAGAGTAACTGATAATTTCATAAAATAAAAAATGGTAATGCAAATAAAGTTGGCAATTTCAAATAATAATGGTCGACCAAGAAATGGGTAAGTTATTCGAATTATTGATAATTCGGAATCAATAATAAACGTTGCTAAGTGACTCAACAAGGGACTAGTTGAGTTTATTAGAAAAAGGTCGGTAAGTAACTTAAATAAAGTGGGTAATTTGATAAAACGTCAATAAATATAATAAAACTGAGCAAGTTATTAGAAAATTTGGTAATTTTAAATCGATCAAATAATATATGTTGGCAAGTGGTTCAAATAATAGCCAATAACCAAAAATTAATTGGTAACATTGACCGACCAGAGAGTCCTTTCTTAGATCAATCATATTCTATTCATAAAGAGTAACCAATCAATCTCATTTGTATTTTTTTTATTAATACTTAAATGATATTCACCTGTTAATTGTCCTCGAATCTCGCACTGAAATTTCAACATATGTATGAATTGACTCAACAAATTGTTAGTCCTCGTCGTGGTAGTTCATGACAGCCCAATAACATAAGAAAGGTCAGAATTTAAAAACTTGGAATAAACAAAGACCAGAAAGTCCTTCCCAAATCAATTCACATTCTATTCACAATAAATAATGGGAACATTGTCCAAAAAGTCCTAAACCTATTACATTTTTGCCATTTTAATTCTAAGCCTTTCAATTTTATCAATTCAGTCATAAATATTTTTTTTTTATTTTTGCTAATGCAATCCATCCGGCCAATGCTAACGTAGCAAATTTTAAATATTTTAATATTTTTTTGAATTTTTTATTTGTTTTTTTCTTTTCTTTCTTTTTTTCTGCACTTCTTCCTTCTAAGGCAAAGCCTCGCTGGTCTCTGCGAAGCTCGCCCCCGCCGGCCACTGGTGAGGCCAACCTTGCGGTCACTAGGTTCTCCCTTGCCTTGGCTTGACCTCGCCCAACTAGGGGTGGGCGAGGCTTGCCCTCAACAATGGCCAACAAGGGCGAGCTTCGCCAAATTGGCCAGAGGGAAGAATGGTAGAAAAATAAAGAAAAGAAAAAAAGGAAAAAATTAATAAAAAATTCGAAAAAAATATTGAAACATTGACATGTCACCGTTGGCTAGAAGCCAACACCAATCGATGTCCTTGTCAGCGCCAACCGGTTAAAATTGATCGGATGAACTGAATTGGCATAAATGCAAGAGGTTTTGGACTGAATTGGTAAAACTGAAAGGTTTAAAACTGAATTGGCAAAAATGCAATAGGTTTATGACTTTTTAGACAATTTTCCGAAAAATAACCAATCAAGTTATTTCATTTGTATTTTTCTTTTTTTAATGCTAAATAATTTTCCTCTTAATTGTCCTCAAATCTTGCATATAATTTTCAACGTATGTATGAAGTGGCTCAAGAAATAGTTAGCCCATGTCGTGGAGGTTCATGAAAGCCCAAGAAAGTCGCAAAAGTCAGAATTTGGAAATAAGACCAGAAAGTCTTTCTTTAGAAGAATTCATATTCTATTCATAAAATTGACCAATTAATCTATCTCATTCGTATTTCTCTTTTATTCTTAATGCTCAAAGATATTTGCCTCTTAATTGTCCTTGAATCTTGCACAGAAATTTCAACATATGTATAAAGTGGCTAAAGTAGTTTGCCCTCGTCGTGATGGTTCATGAAACCGAATAACGTGGCAAAAGTCATTACTTGGAAATTTGGTATAAACAAAGACCTGCAAGTCATTTTTTAGATCAATTCATGTTCGATTCATAAAGAATGAGACCGGAGGCTATTCTTTGATGTGGGTCAAGAAATAATTTGTCCTCATTGTGGTGGTTCATAAAAGTCTAATAACGTGTCGAAAGTCAGAACTTCGAAACTTGCAAACTTGGAATAGAAAAAGACCGGAGTCTATTCTTAGATGAATTCATATTATATTCATAAAGAATAATAAATTAATCAATCTTATTTGCTTTTTTTATTTTTTCTTGATACTCAATTATGTCCGCCTCTTAATTGTCCTTGAATCCCGCACCGTAATATCAATATGTGTGTGGAGTGGCTCAAGAAATAGTTTCTTGTTATAGACGTCCAATAACGTGCCAAAGGTCAGAGCTCGAAAATTTGGAATAAACAAAGACCAGACAGTCTTTTCTTAGATCAATCCTATTCTATTCATAAAGAATAACCAATCAATTTTCCTTAATATTTAATGATACTCACATGTTAATTGTCCTCGAATCTCGCACCGAAATGTCGACATATGTAAGAATGGGACTCAAGAAGTTGGTTGTCCTCTTCGCGGTAGTTCATGAAAGCCCAATAACATAGGAAAGGTCAAAATTTGGAAAATTGGAATAAACAAAGACGAAAGAGTTCTTTTTCAAATGAATTCACATTCTATTCACAAATAATAACCAACCAATTAATCTCATTTGTATTTTTCTTTTTTCTTAATGCTAAATAATTTGCCTCTTAATTGTCCTCAAATCTTGCAAAAAAATTTCAACATTTGTACGACGAGGCTCGATAAATAGTTTGTCCTCCTCATGAAAGCCCGAGAAAATGGCAAAGGTCAGAATTTGAAAAATCAGAATAAAGCATAACCAATCAATTAATCTCATTGTATTTTGCTTTTTCCTATGTTAAAAAAAAAAAAGTTCCACCGCCTCAAGTTAAACCGAGAGTTATAAGAAAAAAGGAAAGCTTCGTCCATCGACAAGGAAAGAGGAAAACGTAGAGAGTACGAGAAAGAGAAAAATTCGGACACCTGACAAGTCCAATTAACTACATTTTGCGGCGCCCGGTAAGTATTCAAGCCCTTCGTCCGTCTACTCAGAATAGTTTTTGCAATTAGGGCATAATTTCAAATTTATATGAAATTTAAACTGTGAGGCCCCATTTTTGGGTTGTTAAGCTAGGGGATTTCATGAAAATGGTAGATAAGGGTGTTGTAGAACTGTGAGATTAGACGAGAGTCGATTTGAAGTAACGGTTTAGTCGGAGCGAAATTCTAAAGTTTCGCGCTCGAGCTCCACGTTGCGGATTGCTTTGAATATCCTCTTTTGACGACAGTTTTGTTAGCACGTAGGAACCGTTTTAATAGCGAATAAGTTTGGTTTAACCGATTCATAGTTGAGGTAGCGTTTTACTCAACTTTGACGTTATTTCTCACCTATTTGATAGGATTGTGAGTTTGATGGTTTGAGTAATTTTTGTTGTTTGATCGTAGGCGTTCTCAGTGGAGTGGTGTTTTCTCTTTTCTGAGTATGTAAAACTTATATTTTGAAATCAATATAGATTAGTTATATTATGAGTTAAGAAATTGCATTTTTTGCTGTATTAAACTAGATCGAGCATTTACTACCTTTTAGTATATATGAGTGGTTTGAGGAAAGGTATTCTGAAAAGATTTGAGTTCTAAAAATTATTTGAGAAATGCTTTATGATAAATTAATTGTGGCGGATAAGCTGCGTTGCGAAAGGTTATTTGTTTGGTTTATGAAATTGATTCTGGATTAGATTTCTGATATTGGAGAATGTTTGTTTGATACTCAATATGACTATGAACCTTTGGTTAAGGGTTTCCAAGTATGCATACCAGTTTTAAGATATCCTTCTTGGGCAAACTACCGATTGATAATATGTGGAGACCTTACCAAGGGGGCATCTTGGTCGTCTTATCACTAGGGATTGTGCCGTGACCATAGTTTAAGATTGAGTAATAAATCGTTTAATGGAATGGACCATTGACGTTGTTTTTTTTTATAGAAATTGATAATAGACTTAACCATTGATGTTTCAATTGCAATGAGGGATTAAATGAGTATTTTTTTTTATTTGTATAAGACTTTGTTGAAATGAAACAACTCATCTTTGATTTAATATGTAAATTATGTATTGTGATTGAATTACGAGTTTTTGGTATTGCTTTATATATATATGCATAGTGGTTGCTCGATCTACTTGGAACAGATATACTACTCACCGATCTGTGACTGCTCATTCCATTTGTCTTTCATGTTTTTAAGGTTCCTGGGTAAGTGACAAGTAGGGCAAGAGCACTGCCGGCAAGAACTTTTGGTAGTTGAATTTTGGACACTGTTGGACATGAGTTATGTATGTTTGAAAATAGTTGTTTGGTTTAATTGAGTTTGAAGGTTTACATATTTTTTTTTATGGATGATAGAAACTCTGATATCATAATCAACTTGCTGGTTTATCATATATATATATATATATGGAGATATATAGATTTTGATAACAAGGTATTGGTTTCTCTTTGAGGCCACATCATTTGGGTGGAAGAACAGTAATGTCATCCTCCCGTTTTTTAGGGATTCGAGACATGACAGGTTTGGTCTGATTGCCGGATTAGACCAAGACTACTGCACACCTCTATCAACGACGCCCCATCGGCAATGAGGTGATGGCTACAGGCGGAGGGATTGGCCCTCCTTCCACCAGTGTATTCTTTTATCTCTTTATTGTGTTTTTTCGTTTACTTTTAGCCTGTTTATTTTTTGTGTTTTTTTAGTTTGTCTTTTTTACCTAATTTAATTAAGATTTGGTGTAAAAAAATTAGGATTTGGATAAAAATGACATCGTTTTGGTGCTATAATTAACTTTAACGGCACGTAGAATGCCACATAGGAAAGAGAAAATAATAATTAGAAAAACCATTTTAATAATTTTCGTTAGTCAAATTGGACGGAGTTAACGGAATAACTAAATTGCATCAATCTAACAAGTTTTCGAACTTGGTTACACTTTTTGAAAGTTGTACAACTCAATCACACTTTCGCGATAAGTTCTATGGCTTTTTCTAAGCTTATCCTTATATTTTAGAGTTAATTAGATTTTTTAGAGTCAATTAGAGTATTTAAGTTGTAGTGGTGTATGTAGCTTAATTTGCACCTAGGAGTTGGTTGAGTTAGCAAGTACAGACTTTTGCATGATCAGCAAATACGATTTTTTTTTGGTTGAAATCAGCACATTTGAATTCAATGGCCAAGTTCTATTCTCTTTTTTTTTTTTGTATCTTTTTGCTGGGATCGTGTTTTCAATAAGAGTATTTTATATGATGGGTACACCACATGACAGTGATAATGTGGTATAATCGAGACCAATTATAGTTACACGCCTGCTATGAATCATATTCTACTTGACACCTGTATATGCATTTCACTTTTGATCGGTCGGTTTCACCAAGTGGCACGCGGTGTCTCCAGCACAAATTCGTGCAAGGCATGGTGAGCGACAAGGCCACAGTGATGGTAATTACATAGCCTATGTACCCTACATTAATTCTTTAAAATGACTACCGCAAAATTATCTCTTTATTAATCAATGAATTTCATTGACCCTAAGGTCTCCATCAGTCCTTGCAACGCCCACCCAAACAAAATGGTGAAATTAGAATCTTCTTTCCTTTCCGTTTTTTATTCATGTGACTACTAACTTAAATTACCCCACAAAAATATTCATAATATCACTCGTAAAGAATTACGTCTCTTCTTCTTCTTCTTCTTCTTCTTCTTCTTCATAATTGAAATCATCGTCATCTTCCTCTTCTTCTTCATAATCGAAATCATCACCATCTTCCTCGAAACCAGATTCAGGGTCTTCACTATAGTCATCCTCTTCTCCTCTTCTGCTGTCTTCTTCATCTGATGGCTCCTCTTTTTTTTCATTCTGTTCATGATCAAGAACACAAACTTATATCCATAAAGAACCACGATGCTCTCAATTCTATCACCATTAACACCAACAAAAGCTTAACCATCTTCTATGTGGTGAAACCTGACACTCGCAAGCTGACACACACATACTATTTGTTATTCGGAGTTAAATCAAGCAAATTATTCTTTGCATAGTCGAGAGATGTTCCCTGTGGATGGCTACTAAAATGCATAGACAAACATGTAAAGCAAAAGAAGAAAGAGAGCTACCTGCGGCAAACCTGTTACCAATTCCTTTGCTATGATTGGCACATTCGGCCGCATTTCTCTGACACTTCGCTCGAGTTCATCCGGCACTTTAACTAATGTGACAACTTCTAAGGTTGTGATCTGCTTCAGTCCCTCGATCATCTTCAGCTGCTTGCATTCCTTAATTTCCAAATCTTCGAGGCACTGCATTGCATTTGCCTGTATAGTCCACCCAGTCAGGTTCTCCAGCTTCCACAGTTTCAAGACACGGAGTTTCCGAAATGTTCCTTCCGAGACACTCAATATCTCGCCGTCATATGAGTAGGCAAATAACCGGAGAGTGGTCAAAAATTCCAGCTTCCCCAGGACTACCATCGGATCGTCTTTTAGTCCTGACATGGACAAGGTTAGTACTTTCAGGTTCTGAGGAATGTGCGACTCCGACAATCTTTGCATGGACAATTCTCCGAGCAAGTATAATTTGGAAAGAGACTTGAGCCCCCTCATGTCAGTCAGTTCAAGATCTGAAGGCTGACCGAATAGATCCTTCGATCGCAATCTGAGGGATTCGAGCATCTTCAAATTTGAGATCTGCTCGGTAGCTGCCTTTACTGCCGAGGGATGACATGTCAATGCCAGCTTCCTCAGGCCCGTCAACTTGCACAGCACATTCAACATGGGACTTTCAACTCCTATGTATAAGCCCCAAATGGTTTGGATGTTGCAGTTTAAGGATTTCTTGGAATGCAGTGGAGGATGAATGGACTCGTCGAAGGACACCTCATTCATGTATAGGTGTTGCAGACTCCCTATCTCCCAGATAGAAGCCGGCACTTGGGTTATGTTAGTGTACTTCAGATCCAAAGTTTCGAGACAAGACAATCGCACCACTGACTTTGGAAGCGATTCAAGAAGAGTCCATCTCAGTCCCAAGTACTTTAGGTTCAGCAATATGTTGCCAAGCTCCTCCGGAAGTAAAGGCTTGTAGACACCCTCAAGATCAAGTACCCTCAGCAAACTGGAGTCCCCTTTCAGCACTAGGGGTTTAAGCAACGCTTCTATCTCTCTGGTCTGTGTTCCTAGCTTCATGGTGTTGAAAGACACATACGAACAAAGTTGTTTGATGCCACACGGCGTAAATTTGTCGCTGGTGGACATTTTTTGATGTGGCTCAGCGGAAGTGATCTCCTCTGTGCGTGCTTCTTGTGCATTTGTTTCTGAACGCTCTGGTCCTACTTCCAGTGCATTTTCATGCGCCTTTGCTTTACCTTCTCCAAAAATATGCCTAGGTATTGCGATACGCAGGGCGTCAAACTTTCCTTCATCATGGATAGAATCGTCATAGATCTTGAGGAATCTTTCATTCTTAGCCATCTGATAAAAGACATCGTACAATGTTCCGGGCAAGCGGCACGATCGCGCACTCCCGTCCCATTTCCGTCGAGCTACATGGACCACGTTTCTGGACACCAGATCCTTGAAACATTTCTCTGCACTAATTCTGGTTACTCCGTTCTCCAACGGTGAGGATACTAGATTTTCAGCTGACCAGAGTCTAAAGAGCCTCCTTGTGGGAATCTCAGATTCCTTAGGGAACATAGCCAAGTACAGAGCACATTGCTTTAACCGTACTGGCAGTACATCAACACTCAACCGTGCAACATCTTGTAGTGTGGGAGGATCAGAAAGCCCATTGGCAAGCTCGGTGCATCTATCTGACGTGGTGGCAGATAAAAGTCCTCCAAGAAGCAGGATCTTGGCGGGAGAACCGCCTGATTTGCTAAAAATCAACTCTTTCAGATGGAGGAGTTCCGTGGGCAAATCGACCATGTCGAAAGCCCAGCTGCTTTCCAATAACTCGTTGCTCTGTTCTCGGTTGACAGGGCTCAACGTGAGATGCATGGAATACCACGGATCAGTAAAAGAGGGTATGTCGTGGTTACAAGTCGTGACGATTACTCTGCTTCTGTTCCTCGAGTCCACGAGCATCATTATGAGCTCGTCCATGAGAGGGACATCGTTCAAGTCATCTAGGACAATTAGATAACAGCACTCCATCAGGACTCGTTGGAGCACATCGGACAGCTCTTCTTTCTTCAGACGCTCCACGTCTCGCAATTCCGAGACCCTCAGCTGCTTGAGCAAGTCGACCATGAGATGAACCAGTGTAGGCCCCGGTGCAACCCGGACCCAAGCGCAGCAGTCAAAATGATTCTTAATGTCCGCTCGGTTGTAGACGCTCCTCACTAGAGCTGTTTTGCCGATGGCTTCCTCACCGACCACCGAAATCACTCTCAGGTTGGCACCGTCATCTCTTTTATCGAGCAACTGCTCCACAAGTTCGTTCACAAGATTTTCGCGACCCACAATATGCGACTCATCCTTCATCTTCCTTGCTCGGGTCAGGTTGCCTGTTGATGAAGCTACAATGCTCCTCCCGGCACTGAGCGGCGAAGTTTCAACTTCTCGCGCCAACATCTTGCCCCTCTCGCCGTTTCCTCGTCGGCTCCGAGAAGACAACGAGCGAACCAAAGACAAGGTCTTTGCCAGAGGATTTTTTCGCGGTCTCAGTCCCTCAGATGCCTCCATAAGGAACCAATCGGAGGAAGTATGCACGACACGAGCGGGCTTGAGAAGACTGCGATCGTGCACCAGGGAATGGAGGCTCGCGGTCCTGGCCGTTCAGTTCCGGGTTGCTCAAGCCTCAAGAAGTGTGATTCGCCTGGGACATTGGAAATGGCCACCTTAGGGACAGGATAAGGAAAAGGAAACTGGAGGTCTGAAAGTGATTACTGGGGAAGGAGGTTGTTTGGATTGTCAATTTGCACCAAACAAGCTTAGGAATTTATAGGAGGCGTCAATCACCACCAGCTTCTAATCAATGAATTCATCATCTCTAACTCTTATAATTGTTCATATTTTTTTATAATTTTTTGTTTTCTTATGTTGTTAGTCAATTCAAGTCATGCAGAAACTTTTTAACATATGCAAAGTCGTCAGACTTTGTGCTGGATTTCTCATTATACAAAGACCAGAAAGTCATTCCTTAAGGTCGATGTTATTCTACGCATAAACCCAAAACAACAAAAAGAACAAATAAATCATCCACGTGATTTCCAGTAACTATTAGGGTGGCATTTTCTGCGCACCATAAGTCAAAGTACTCGAAATTTGAGTAGGTTCAACCAACATTAGAATTCCACCATCGGACATGAAAAGCATGAGGGCGTTTTCGTCAATTTTCATATTTAAGAGGGAAATTATTAAAAAATCATAAACTAATGGCACTTGTGCCAATTTAGTTTTAAATATTTTAATTGTGCCAATTGAATTATAAGCATTTTCACATTTTGCTAATTGAGTTCATCGGGTCAATTTTGGCAGGGAATCACTTATGTAGACGCCAGCCATCCTACATGACATGGCTGGCGTTGACGTGGACAATTTTAAATAATACTTTAATAATTTTTATAATTCTTTTTTTCTTTTTTCTGATCTTTTCTTTACTTTTTTTTTGTACTGACGACTGGCAAGGGTCGCCGACTAACTCTCACCGACCATAGGCGAGGGCATCCCGGCCCTTGCCCAGTGGCCAGCAAGGGTATCAAGCAAGGGCTGCCATGCCCTTGCCAACCACAGCGGAGGGCCTGCAAGCCCTTAGTCCAAAAAAAAAAAAAAGAGTAAAGAAAAGAAAAATATAAAAAAATCAAAATATTATTTAAAAAATTTCATATTAGCACTGATCGTGCCACGTAGGATGGCTAGGGTCTACGTCAGTAATTTTTGGCCAAAATTAGCTCAATTGGCAAAATGTGAAAAAGGTTTAGGACTCAAGTGGCACAATTGAAAGGTTTATAACTGAATTAGGATAAATGCAATAAGTTTATGACTTTTTTGGTAATTTTCCCCAAATTTAAGTGTTGATTCTCATTGTTTCTTTCATTTTTGACATCAAAAGTATGCATCGTTTACATGAAACATTCAATTTTGTGTTTACATATATATTGATACAAATACTTGAAGTCCTCTTAATTTTTCCTAATTTCTTTTAACATTTAAAGTATTGTTCTTGTGTGTTAGTGTTAAGAAACGAAGCAAAATATAGTAACAAAAGAGACCCTTAAGCCTTTTTGGCTAAATAGAGTAGATTATAACCTTTCGAGAAAGGGGCTCAAACTTAATCGATAATCACCAGACTTGCAGGACACTTCATAGACTTTTGAGTACCAAGGTCTCCACATCCATGCCTCTGAATTATTGAAAAAAGAAGACCGGCATATATTCAAGAAGAAGATGCCCTTTGCTGCCGCGAATTTTACCTTTAAAATTCATTTCACGTCACTTCAACTCCTGCTATTTCCACGGCCAAAGGGAAATCGAAAAGTGAAATCCAATTCTTTGGCAACTTACACAGTTATCTCGAATCCCTTTCGGTTTCTTTGCCTGAATTTTGTCATTCTTGAAGCAGATGATGCATTATGATCAAACACTTAGATGAGGTGTAGTAGAATCGAGCTTAGAGTTACTGTTTGTTCCACCACCCCGATGCTTCGAAAACCAACCCAATCCTCGTGTTCACAGCATAGTGAGTGTCAGCATTACTGCAACGAGACAACCCCATTCCCCTCCATCCAGGGAGGGAAAGCACATGAACAATTCGATATTGTGTAAATCATGATACTACACTAAAATGATATCGCATGGGCTTATACTATCGATGAGTCTACAATGTTGTCAATAGGGAGTTTCACAGTTTCTGCAAGTGTGAGCTGACTTTTAGTAGCATATGCCTCGATGAAAATCGCACTGTTTTTGAAAATGCGATTCGCCATGCATCGAGATAATAAGTGCAACGTCACTTGTAACAAGCAAAAGAACCATAGAGAGAAAATGGTCCAAAGAGACATGGATTCATTTCTGAGCAGCCAACCATACAGATACATAAATAGAATAACATACATACGACGGGAACAGATCAAAAAGGGTAACATGAACAGAAACGGCAAACATCGGCGACTTCCTTGAGGTCATATACTCTCAATAATATATATGTAGCCCAAGAAAAGTTCCTTTCTCTCTCTCTCTTCCCCCGTTAACCATTAAGCCAAAAACTAGGCATGTTACTGACAATACATGAGCTGCTGGGCAGCTGCAACATTTTGAAACCCAACATCATATATTGCCTGGTTTCCGCCGGCAACTCCCATACCCATCGCTGCCTGCTTGAGAGGATGCTGTCCTTGCATGAGAGGATGCATGCCGCCGCCCATCTTGGTCATTGCCAATTGTCGCTCGTAGGCTAATAGTTCAGCAGTAGAAAGGCCTGGTAATGGTGCCGCTGCAGCAGGTGGAGGAAGGGGATTGGAGCTTGTTCCTGGGGGAGTAGGCTTGCTACCCCAGGAGCACTGCAATCACAAACAAATCAGAAGTCAGCTCTGGTTCAATCGAAAACACCAGGGGGACGAAGTCTTGTATTAACTACCGTTTTCACATGCTAGAGCCCCTGATCTATTTTTTCCACTGCCAAGATGCGGACAGCAATTATATCTTAAACTACATGCCACGAAAAGCCCATCTAAATTATTGAAGAGATAGAACACTTCACTTGTATTGCCAGAGAACCATGTCTTATTACCATAACACATGCCACCTTTGCTTATCCTTTTAGAGGATAAGAGGTACGCCCGAACATGTGGTGGCACCACATGCTGATGAAGTCATAGCTACAGCATTCACAGATTGAGTTTAAATTCAACTGTCTTGAGTCAAAGAGCACTAAGCTCATCCAAAAGGGTTTAGTGCAGTCACTAAATGCACAAAACTCAAAGACAACTTGGATTCAAATCTCGGTGTAAACAAAAATGAGGTCTTTGACCAAAGGTTAACTATGGGAGGTGGTCGGATTTACGATCAGGAAAAGGAAAAAAGTGAGATAATTTCAACTTATATCAGCATAACTGCAGAATTAATAATCTCACACTACATTTTCTATGGAACAGATACTTTTCAAACCATCAGCACACTGTGAAATAAAACAAATAAGGAATGAAGAGCATTAGTAACAAGCCCAAGAACACACCGTAATGTCTTCCACAGAGAAGTGACTGAGTATTTTCCATTTGAATGGCCAATGCTGCTTCTGCACGAGTACTATACCTCACGAAACCAAATCCTACTCTCTAACCTCCACAATCTCTGTTAAATGCCCATCACCAAAAAATCTGAATGCATAATCACTTGAAAGGTCAAATTTAAACTTGCAATTGTCGCAGCCATTTTCCATGTAAGTAGGTTTAATTTTGATAGAATAAGCTCATCAGCTCTTGCTCTCTACTCATTCACCTACTCTTCACACTCCCACTTCCTGAATTCTCTCCTCTAAATACGGTTCCTAATATGAACTGGCGTGGTACCGACATCAAATAGCTTCTGATAAAAAGTATAACAGAATAAATTAGTCTCAAAAAATTATTTCAGTATGGACCCACTCAATGTTGATGCATTAATTATAGTTAACTTAATCTAATACTAAATATGTATCTTGGTGCAAAACGAGATAACTAGGGTAGATGGAATTAGCATTTAAAAAATTATTTCTTCTCTTATACTAATCCAAGAACTATTTGATTCATGTGCAATCAACAATCCCATTATATGCAATTTCTTTTGAAATTAATTAAAGCATTTTTTTCACCTCTAATTCTAATTTGTCTTCTAATCATTGTTGAATTCTGTAAACTGAAATTACCTGACCTTTTTGTGAGATTTTGTCTCCTCATAATATTGGCACTCAAAGAGTGTAATACAATACATCCACATTTAGTTATTGCAAAAGTTAGCATCAAATTAACTAATGAAGGGGAAAGGAATAAAATTCAATCTGATATGAAGAGAACATGAAAAGAATTAGAACCCACACTGCACTTTGATTTCTTGTTCGTTTTATAACAAATAATTTAGATCAGTACTAAAGTGACAAGTCTAAATCCTTATCCTTTTCGTGATAATTCAATTTCTAGAGCTTTCCAAACCCTTGCTTGAAGCTTAAGTTATTTAATGACAATAATAGAGACCCGTGCATGGCACGGGCTTTTTGACTGGTTATAACTAAAGGAGAGCATGATGATAATTGCAAAAATACACAGATTGTTAAGGTGTATTTAATTTTTCTCCATAAATTTTTTTACAGTTTCATTTGATATAATTTTATTACTGGCCACAAAAAGAATAAAGCCAAGATGGCCAATATAGTAATGTCAATATGAAGATGTAAAGCGTAATTTTAAAAGCACGGGATACAAAATTTAAAGTACCCCCAGTTCATGATGGAAAATACTAGATTTCCCTAAAGAAAATCTGGCAATATTCACTTTGTTTTGCCCCCGAATTACTCAAAACTCCACCATATGGATTCAATTAGATGTAAATCAGCAACACCAACAGATAGTACTTAAAAAAGAGAGATCGGTCTTGCCTCCAAAGATAAATTTCCTACATAAACAGTTGCATACTGAGAATTTTTTTCTGGAGCATCACTGTTTGTAGCCTCCTTACCATCCTCTGCAATGAAAAAAAAAGAAGAGAGTAGATGATACGTGATGCAATCTTGTAAAAGAGAATGCCTATAACAGTAGACAATACAATGACTCGGGCAGCAAAACTTAAAATGCTTGTGCCTTCGAGCATCGCATATCAACCAAGATGAATCCAAGAAACTTCTGTTCCAAATAATGGCTAACCTGATGAGCCATTGGTTAGCTCCACCACACTTTTGGCGTCAGAGCTCTGCTTCTCTTCAATGCCACCACCACCAGCACCCTTTGTTGCCCAATTACTACGTATCTGTCTACTGCCAAGCCATTTCCCTGAAATATAAACCGAAATTAACTCGACTTTACATGGAGACGGTAAAAGGAACTAGCCATCATGTTATTACCAGGGAAGACTGTTCAACTTTCTGGCATTTCACCGAACCGATGAACTGCCACTATACTTGTAAAATGTGAGTTTGAAAAGTCAAAATGGGGGAGAAGAAAAAAAAAGAAAAGAAAGAAAAAGAGAGGGAGAGAGAAAGAGAATGAAAAGAAAGAAGAAGAAGAAGAGGAAGAAGAAGAAGGAGGGGTTTCGCATACAGTCGGATCAATTACATATCGCAATGCTCAGTGGGTGTCCACGCCCTTCGTTCGTTCAATCGGAGAAGTTTTTGGAATTCGAGCTTAAATTCGAAGTATTGTGAAATTTCGAGCCACCATCCATGGCTACGAAGTTTTTGAAAGAACGCCATATCTAGCCGCGGAGGTCGTCGCTCTATCTTTGGATGAGAGGCCGTCCATGGACGACCACTACTCTGCATCTCCATATCTATGGACGAGTGCTCGCGGCCAAGGCTTAGTTGCCGGGACAACAGAGAGGGTTGACGTGGAGGTCGGCCTGGACGCGGCGATCAACCGTCGCTCAATAGCCAAATCTGCTCTACTGCTCAACAGCTTTCAGCTCGAGTCTTGGCTCTTCCATGGCTGCCGGCGATGAGCTGAACAGCTTTGCTGCGGACGGTGGTGGCCAAGGTGGGATGGTGGCTCAAGGATGGTAGAAGCGGCGACTTGGTGGTGGAGATAGCCAAGCCCAGGCAGAGCGGAGGTTGAAGATGGAGGAGGAAAAGAGAAATAATTTTTTTTAATTTCCAAATCAATATATGTGTCAAGATCTAATTAGTTATCAGTAAATAAGCACACGCCACAGCAGCCGTTGACGTAACGTTTACAAACCGCTGAATATTTTCTCATTAATGACATCTCAAGAAGTAAAAGCGATGGCAAAAGCTCGACTCGATAAGAGAAATTTGCTTGATCCATAAGAAACCCAAGTTAATCAATATGTGGTTTTATTTTCATGCAAAAGTTTAGGAGATTGAATCCGGTGAACAAGGGGATGATAAAGAGTGATTCCATGTTATGCTTTTCCTCTCCCGGTGATCATCATGTCGTTCTTTATTATATGCATTAGCCCTTTGCTTCCACCTGAAGAATGTAGAAAAGAAATTTGAAGTGTTTTAGTATTGGTTCGTATCATCTGTTGAGAAAAACTCCTATTAATTTTGAAGTTGATAAAACCTTCCATGTTTTTGTAAATCTGATACTTATTCTGAACTATTCTATTCCAGGTATGTATATATATTCTGGAAGCTCAGAAGGAAGTTTTTCAGACTTTACAAACTGGTTCATGTTTTATTGAAGACCCACATAATCTAAGTTCTGAGACTCAGACGCTGAAATTATTTAGACGCAGACGCAGAATTTCTTCAGACGCAAAACTCAGAACAAAAATAACAGCTAATGATCTGACATGAATTTCACAGAAGGAAAGTTTTGATTGTTTCAATCTTAATCAAAATAGATTGACAATCAAATATTATGACAAGTGTGCATTACAATGGACAAAGCTCTACTTATGTAAACCAAGATTCTGATTGTATGGACGATCAGAATCAGCGGGATTCAGAATCTATAAATCCAACGGCTACTCAATCCTTTCTATACAAATCTGTCCAAGGTGAAGATTGGAAGATGATCCTCTGAAAGTTGTCCAACGGCTAGTTTGGAAGCAGAGGAGTATTTAAGGAGATTAACGAGCAGCAAAAGGACAATAGATTCAAGAATCAACAAGTCCAAAGTCTGAGTATACTCCAACCATTTCTTTTGTCGTTCTGAGCTAAAGATTAATATCTTGAGGGTTACTTTGTAAGAGTGACTGTGTGAGATAGAGAGTCCTATCATACACGAGAGTGCTATCACTCATAATCTGTAAATTCCTCTTGATTACATAGTGAAATCCAGCCAGTAGGCTGTAAGCGTGGGAGAGTGGACGTAGGCTTGCTATAAGCCGAACCACTATAAACTTGTGTGCAGTTTTTCTACCCATTATCTCTTTATTTACATTCTGCACATCAAGAGCACTGTCTATATAATCTGCTTGAATCTGAATTTTATTCAGACTCAACTGTGTTATTTCATTTCCGCATAAATTATCAAAAATTGTTTAAGATCACCCATTTACCCTCCTCTAGGTGATCCTTGCTAGCTACATCAATTGGTATCAGAGCAGATTGCTCATTTTTTGAAGTGTTTTACTTCTGAGCTAACGATCTACATGGCTAGCTTTGGTGCTCCAGGGCTCATTGAAGGACAAAGCAACAACAAACGACCATATTTCGATGACAAGGAATATAGTGTCTAGAAAAATAAGATGAAGGCATTCATAAAGTTGATTGATCACATGCAATGGGATGTCATCATCAGAGGAGTCAATACAAAATCCTCTGATTCAAAAGAAAAGGCAGACGGAAGCAAAGCTGCAGATCCTCCTTTGTCTCAATCTGAGATATCTAAAAGAGAAACTTTAGATTCCAAAGCAATTTATTCTTTCTATTGTGCTTTATCTCCTATTGAATATAAAAAAAATTGCTTCTTGTGAATCAGCTAAGGAAATCTGGGATACTCTCCACACTACTTATGAAGGAACAGATCGAGCCAAGGAAACTCAAATCAATCTTTTGCTTGGTCAATATGAATCCTTCAAAATGAAGCCTGGAGAATCAGTTGCTGATATGTATGACATGTTTACTGACATAGTAAACGGTTTTGCATATCAATGACAACCAGTCTCAGATGCTATGAAAGTCAACAAATTACTAAGAAGACTGACAAATCAGTGGGATAACATCAAAACATCTCTTCGAGAGACACAAAGGATCAAGCCTCTATCAGTGAATGAGTTAATTGGAACTCTTCAATCATATGAGACTGAGAAACGGAACGAGGAGAATGAATCCAGAGGTAATAAGTCAATTGCATTGAAAACTAACATTGATTCTGATGCAAATTCTGAAGATGAAGATGTTGACGATGAAGAACTAGCTCTCTTCATAAAGAAGTATAAGAAGATGAAAATCAAGGGAAGAAGTCCTTTGAGAAGAAGTCCTTTGATGAATCAGAAAGATCAAAAGATATAATTTGCTTTCACTGTAGGAAACGTGGACATATCAAGCCAAATTGTCCACTTCTGAAAAAGAAGACCAAATTTGAGAAAGCAAAGAAGGTCTTAAAAGCAGAAACCTGGAGTGATACAGAGTGCGAAAACAGTGATGAAGATATCTCAAATTTCTGTCTAATGGCAAAGTCAGATTCAAACTCAGATTCAGATTTTGATCCTAAAGTGGAAATTGAGGTAAAGCATTCTGAAATGCTTATTGAAGTATCGAATTACACTGATGAATTATGCTTTGAATTTAAGGATGCTCTTAAAAGAATCTCTTCTCTGAAAAAGGAAAATTCATCACTAAGGCAATAGGATATTTCACAAAAAGAAAAAATCAATTTCCTTCAAAAAGAATTTCATCAAATCAAGGAAAGTCGAGATTTTCTTTCCAAAGAAAATGCTGTTTTGAAAAAGGAAGTTTCAGAAATCACTTCCAAGTTTTCAAAAGGTTCAGAAACCTTAAAGCATATCCTTTCTATCCAAATTCCTTACTATAACAAATCTAGTCTCGGATTTGTGAAGGAAAGTAACAGCTTGATTGATTTTCCAAAGGTCAAGGAGAGATTAAGACAAAGATCTCCTTGACAAGTTTATAAAAACCATTTCAAAAAGAATTTTGTCAAACCTGTTGGCCGAAATGCACTTAGATGCTCAAAATATAGATATCCACAACATTTTGAGAATGAATGTCCTAAGGTCTGCAGACCTGTTCGAAGAGATTTTGTTAAGACAACCTCTATTAATGCTCAAGGACCCAAACAAATTTGAGTACCAAAGAAAACTTGAGATGTTGTGATTTTTGCAGTTACCGCAAAGAGAAAAAGAAAATGGTACCTAGACAGTGAATGCTCTAGACACATGATAGGAGATCCAAGCATATTCGTTGATCTACACAATCTGAATGGTGGAAAAGTTTCCTTTGGAGGAAATACCAAAGGAAAAATCGTTGGCAAAGGAACGGTTGAAATTGGAGGACTTACAATCAATGATGTTTCATTGGTAAAATGACTCAATTACAACTTGATAAGCATAAGCCAGCTATGTGAAATAGGTTTCAGAATCAACTTTCAAGAAGATACATGCTCAGGAACAAGCAAAGATTCTTCTAAAAAATTCACAGGAAGAAGACATGGCAATATTTATCTTCTAAATGTTAATCCAAACTCCACTCATTGCTTGATCTCAATCAAAGAGGATGAAGATCTGTGGCACAGAAGATTAGGACATATCAGTATGAAACAAATCTCAAAGATCTCAAACAAGAAATTAGTTCGAGGTCTGCCAGATTTGAAATACAAGAAAACAGAATTATGCAATACCTGCACTCTAGGAAAACAAGTAAGAAGCTCTTTTAAGTCTATACATTATGTTTCCACTAATCGTGCTTTGCAGCTTCTTCATATGGATCTGTTTGGACCAACCAGAACACAAAGTATTGGTGGTAAGAAGTATTGTTTAGTTATTGTTGATGACTTCACAAGATTTACTTAGGTGTTCTTTCTTGCTCATAAAAATGAAGCATTTTCATATTTTTCAAAATTTGCAAAAAGAGTTCAGAATGAAAAGGGCTATACTATTTCCTGCATTAAAACTGATCATGAGAGAGAATTTGAAAATCAAAGTTTTTCAGATTTCTATGAAGAAAATGGCTTTCAACATAATTTTTCTACTCCATATACACCAAAACAAAATGGTGTTGTGGAAAGGAAAAATCGTTCTTTACAAGAAATGGCAAGAACTTTGTTGATAGAAAGTAAGATTCCTTTTCAATTCTGGGCAGATTCAGTTTTTACAGCATGTTATATCATCAACGGAGCTTTTCTCATACACATTCTTGAGAAAACCCCCTATGAGCTTTTCAAAGGTAGAAAGCCCAATATTTCTTATTTTCGTGTGTTTGGTTGTAAATGTTTTATACTCAAAAATCCAAATGACCGCTTTTGATGAGAAAGCAGATGAAGGATTCTTCCTTGGATATTCTACTACAAGCAAAGCACACAGAGTCTTCAACAAGAATTCTCAGACTGTGGAAGAAATAATGAATGTAAGGTTTGATGAAAATATTCAGACTCACAAAGATGAATCTGAACTATCTTCCAACATTCAAGAGTTATCAGAAGCTCAACAATCAGAATCTCCAAAGATCGTCGAATCCGTAGAAAAAGGAAAAGAAGATACTATCCAGACTCAATCAGAACCTTCAGAGTCTGACGATATTCAGAAGGAAAAATTTGACAGAAACTGGAAGCATAAATCCAGTCATCCGAAGATCCTCATCATTGGAGAAATAGAATATGGTATCAAGACTAGATCTAAGCACAAGGAGAACATCGGCAACTTGGCATTGATATCAGAAATAGAACCAAAAGAAGTTGGTGAAGCATTATCAGATGAAAGCTGGATCGAAGCTATGCAGGAAGAACTTCAGAATTAATCAAGTATGGAAGCTTGTACCAAGACCCAAAAATCATCCAGTAATTGGAACAAAATGGGTATTCAGAAACAAACTGGATGACAAAGGGAAAGTCACAAGAAACAAAGCAAGACTGGTAGCAAAAGGCTATTCTCAAGAAGAATGCATAGATTATGATGAAACATATGCACCAGTTGCCAGGTTAGAAGCCATTAGGCTACTATTAGCTTATGTTTGTTTCCATAACTTTAAATTGTTTCAGAT